ATTATAAGCATTGGTTTTTGTGAGGTTTAGTCGAAGCTGCTAGCTGTAAGCGTTATAAAAATGGTCCAACATTCGTTCCATTTGGCTCATGCTTGGTGTTATAAGACCGACGTAAACAAGATGAAAGTGGTTGTAATTGTTGGACACGTCCTGGAGGTGGTAATGGATTACTAAATTAGAATGAAAGTTCTGCAACACACTTGGGAAGAATTGAAAATTTATGCATGAATTCCAGACAAAAACAATATGAACTATTTCTCAGAATAAAGGACACCGTCTTCTTCTACGACTTTCTGTCATTGATCCGCCAAGTTTCGGCTTTTTTCAAGTTTCAGACTTTTGTGATAGATATCTTCTCCAATAACGATGCAATAAAACACGAACTACGATTCATGATGGAGGCGTGTGATAAAAGAAAATAAAGACAAATAATATCTAGGCCTTCAGTGGGCAAATCCCATGTAGGAAAGTGTATATTCCCATGATATGAATGGGATTATCTCATGCTTATTAAAGTGCCCCAGAACTTTATTTCCAGCTGTAGTATTTCGGCACGATAGTGCGGCCTTTTCAAAACACTTCTTTTGACGTAGGCAGTAATAACGTTATAGAATGGTGATATTTTGACTGTGAAATTTTTACACAGATGACAAAGAATCCTTATGTACTGAGTAGGATTGCCATGGTTGTTCAGAACTTCTTTGATTGCTTTTGCTTGAATTAAACAAAAGTCTTCTCCAATCGATAAAAGTGAGGCACAGCGGTCTTTGTGCTCTCACGAAACAGTCTTGATATCGCGTAAATATGGTCTATAGTACTAGATCATCTTCAGAGTCGTCCTTGTTCGCGCGGCTGCCCTTTGTCCAATGTTCTATCAGTTTTGTTTGAGACGACTAGAGTGAAGAATTTTATAGAGGACGGACAAGCAAACAGCAAGCAGATTGCGCAATAGTGTACCTTTATCTCGAGTGTTTTTCATCAAGACCACGCTCAAATTTCAATAAATCTCATAATTATTATTTGAGCCAACATGTCATGTGGTCTGCTAATAGGCTTTTTGCACAGCTTGATACACGTGTTTCGACCTTACAGTCTCATCAGTCGGGCAGAACCCGTCGTATTTCAGTCTTTTTAGCCAATCCTCTCGGCAGTCCTTACTCTCCCTATAGAGAGGCTGAAATAACAATTGTGAGATATATTGTAATTTGAGTGTGGTCTCAATAAAACAGTCGAATTTAAGGTATATTATGATGAAAATGCCAAAAAAAGAGCAATCGAGTGTAAAACATTGTAAATTCGGTGATGAATTCGCTTGATTCAGAGTGTAAATCGTACGTCTTTGCTAGCCCTTTATAGGGGGAGTAGGAACTTCCCAGAGGATTGGCTAAAAAGGTTGCAAGACAACGGGTTTTGGCCGAGTGACGAGACTGTAAGGTCGACACACGTGTATCGTATTGTGTAAGAGCCCAATATCAGACCACATGACTTGTTGGCTCAAATAATAATTATGAGATTGCGCAATAGTTACTAATGTCGTTAAGACTTTCGTTCTTTTACTGATACAGATGACAATGAATCCACGGCCTTGCTGGTTTTTCACTAATTGAAAACCTTGTAAGCTGATAACTAACGAGTAACGAAAAAAGACACTGGATTGAAGAAAACTAAAAATTTTCGCGTCAAACTCTTCAGTGATAATCTTGAAAAAAGCATGGTTTTTTTGAAAAACTTTTTTTAAATTCTAGAATGCTTCAACTTTGGCCGTCGTTATAATTTTGATGCGTATACAACGATGGTCAAAAGCTCTTAGTAATCTACACGTTTCAATTCCTCTATAGGTGGCTCAAATGCACGTACACGTGGATTTTGAGTACAATTCGACACCTTTACGATTTTCGCGGCATAGTATGGCTTTGAGATTTTAGCAGCCTCTCCGTACTCGTTCTAACACCAACGCTAGCGTATCTAGGCTTTTTCGCGGTGAAGAAGAAAATAAGGGTCCTTTTCTTTGATGTACTTATTTTTTCATGCCCAACTCATAGCTTACTGGGATATGAATGAAGGTTGAAAACTTACGGTAATAATGCAGCCCACTTCTAGAAGGATGAAGTGAAGTTTAATCATTAAAGATGACTTCCAACTCCCTACCATACACTCTCTAGTCTCCTAAATGCAGTATTCTGGTCAGCTTAACTCATAGAAATCAAAGTATTCCAAATCAGTGCTTTGTGAAATAAATTTTTCGTCTAATTCTACCTTTGCCTCAAAAAAGCAATGTTCCTTTTGGTTTCGCGCCCAACTTTTATATCCGTCATGTGTGAGACACTTCAAGGCCTTCACGACCAAGTGAGCAAAAATTATGAATGAGTGGGACCTGTAAGATGATGAGTTGTAAGACAAAATAAAGAACATCTCTGTTTTCTTTGGTAGAGTATCTCCTACAGATTATCCAAGTCTGGCTCTTGCGGAAGTACATCTGAGTGTTGCCCTTTTTTGTATCGCAAAAGACCTACACTGTATCTTACCTTTTGTTTCAGGTGTTTTCTTAATACCACGCTCAAATTTCAATATGCCTGACAATCATTTTTGAGCCATGCATGTGATCTGTTATGGGGCAACTGACGAAGCCCAATACACGTGTTCCAGCTTTCACAGACTCGTCAATCAGGCAGTGCCCTTCGTCTTCAGCCAATCGTCACGAACGTTTTGCACGTGTCACATGTTTTACACGAAACATATGACACATTTAACGATACCAGGCAAGAGCACGCGATCTTAGAACGCTGCCATTTGATGATATTTCTTACTCAATATTTTAGTGACATTTTCTCATAGTGGCACGTGTAAACGTTAATCGTCATCGCCAACTATATATAGGGGCTGGTTCCCCCCAAAAGGATCAGCCAAAGACGATGGGTACTATCAGACTGAGGAGGTTGTCAAGGCTGAAACACGCGTATCGGGCACCCTATAACAGTCACATGCACGGCTCAATAATAATTATTAGATACACTGTAATCCAATTTCTCAGAGTTTTTTTCACTTCATGGCGCTTTCATAGAATAGTCATACTCGTGGATTTTCGAAGCGTCAAGTAATCAGCAACTTGCAGATGTGAATTCGAAAAGAGTTCTTGACATGGGTGTGGGATTTCTGCTTGAATAACAGAAAGCGCCGGCCCTCATTCACTGATAAAAAAGCTTGCTTATCAGATTTATTCACACTATTCTTTTTTTCGTCTAACCAAGTCTTAACCTTTATCAGCTCCAGCTCAGAAATTTTGCGCCAAATAATTCGAGTAAAGTACATTGTAGGTCAAAGATGTTGATCTTTGAATTGTCGGACATTCACTCTATATCATTATTCTCGTTCATAACTGCCTCTTCTAAATTGTTAGTTGGAAATAAATTATAAGTTACATTGCAAACGAAATCGAAAAAAATTGAGAACTATCATTTGAATATCGAGGCTTTTCTTGAGCACTTTGTTCTAACCAGATTGCCGTCTTTCATGCGCTCTCAAGCATCTTCCGTGTCCATTTCTCATTTTTTTCAAGCATATGGATTTAGGAAATGTCGTCCTTTATAGTACAATCAGCTTTGTCGTCGATCAACTCCTATGTTTTTTGGTGCGATATCAATCACTTTGAATATTTTTTTGATCTACGTTATTCGTAATCGACCATCACGAATGATAGGATCCTATAAGCAAATGATGGTCGCATGTGCGACGTTCGACATCTGCTTCAGTGCAGTCTATATCGTAGCCAGTCCGGTGGGTTCAATACATGAGCAAGTGAAGGGTAATTACGTGAATGTTGCAATTGGATTCCTATAAAATTTAGCTTCGTATGTAAACAACAGAAAATTCCAATGAAATGCTGGTATTTTGCAATATTTCTCTTTGATCAGAATCATTTCAAAAAATCTAATTTCTAAAAATTTACAGAAGTTGGTACAAACCAGGATCATACACCGGTGTTTTCGGTTCGGAGGTCTCGCCCTCCTCGTCAGTGATCCACGCCCCACATTAAGCCCTGCACTATAGCAAGGAGGGAGGCGTATGTGGTGTCGGCCCAGTATACGACGACACATATGCCAGCACGACTTCTCAGTCGATATATCTCGGCGTAGAACAAATCTGGTCCATGTAATCTTCTGTATTTTCAAAACCTCGCAATAAACGTTCAAAATAATTGGGCCACTGACGGGGAGGACGAAACCTCCGAAACACCGGTGTATGGCGCTGGCATACCAACTTCGCTTGGGCTTTAAGCATTCTTTTTTGAAATTATTTTGAATGTTTATTGCGAGTTTTGAAAACACATCAATGCCATGGATCAAGTTTGTTCTACCAGCGGAAATCCATCGACTGGGAAGTGGTGATGGACCAGTGTCACTGTACATGTGCCATAACCACACACGCCTTCCTCCTTGCTACAATGTACGGTTTAATGTGGGGCGTAGGTCACTGACGAGGAGAACGAGACCTCCGAAACACCGGAGTATGGCCCTGGCGTAACAAAACCCCGCTTAGGCTTTGAGCATCCTTTTTTACAAATGGTGTTTTGAGGCAGGAAAGTATTCATCTTCAAAGTTCTATAAAAAACATCATATAAGATGTATAGGTATGGAAAAAACACACAAATGAATAGGTTTCTGACGCACTTCAAAGCAAAAAAAAAAATCGGCACATCTTTGTTTTTACTATTATCACAGCAAAAAAAAAACGGCGGAGTCATATTTGTACACCTAAGATATCAGGTCACTTTAGAGAAGCTAAAAATTTTAGATGAATGCGGGGCGCATCCCTTAGGGACTACAACGCCGAGAATTTTATCCTTCAGCTTATATATATATATTATATATATATATATATATATATATGTATACTATATGTTATATATATATATGTAGATATTGCGCAATATATATATGTATATATATACTAACTATATATATATATAATATATATATATCTTATATATGGTGTCAAAACGGGCACCGGTAGTGCGACGGTTTTAGCATGCGCTCCCGAATAGGGTGAAATCTGGGTTTGAATCCCAGCTGACGCAAATTGTTTTTTGCACACCACTCTACACTTCGTGGCTTATTGTAGTATCATACCACCGCAGTAGGGTATTAAATAGAATGAATTCTATGTATATATATATATATATATATATATATATATATAAACATATAAATAAACAATTATATAAATATATAAGTATATATATGCTTACATTTATATGTAAAGGATAAAGGATAAAGCTCTCGGCGTTGATCAATCCCTGAGGGATGCGCCATGCATTCGACTTCAATTTTTAACTTCGTTTGGGGTGATTGAATGCACATCTGGCCTTTACAATGACTCGCGGTGAACTCCCGCTGAACCGAGTCAGTGCTGCTTATCCTCCCAGACAAGTCTGAGACCTGTCTGGTACCAATTTACCGACCCCGAAGGGATGGATGGCTTGGTGAGCCATGAGCGCGAGATCGAACCAGTGACCTCGGTGTGCGACGCAGGGGCACCTCTAACCACTGCGCCACATGCGCTCCTACATTTATATGTATATATAAATATATAAATATATATATATATAAATATATGTATATGAGAGAGAGACTGGCAAGCTACTCGTGAGTACCCAGCCCCCACATTTAGAGCCTGGCAAGCTATACGTTGGGTATAGAAATGCCAAAAACAGCAACAAATATGGGCCTCATTCCCCTGACCCCGAAAAAGCCCGTGGTACGGCAGCGCCAGGTAGGACGAGTACGGAGAGGCTGCTAAAATCTCAGAGCCGAACTAGGCTGCCAAGATCGAAACGGACTAAAATGACGATCTGTACCTACAACGCAAGAACCCTTGCTCACGAATCCGCTGTAGAAGATCTATTGATTCAAGCAAGAAGAATAAGGTATGACGTCATTGGCCTGGCTGAGACGAGAAGGTGCCATCCTTTTCACGCTGTTTATGACACCGAGAAGAACTGTTCCTTGGTACTATGCGATCACAGAGGTGTCGGCGGCATTGGCGTCCTCGTCAAATCGAATTTGACCGTGAACATTGATTCGTTCGAACAACTAACAACCCGTATCGGACGATTACGGTTGAAACGATGTGGTTCTATGCCGGCTTTGACCATCTTCGTTGCTTACGCACCAACATCAAGCTATGACGAAGACGAAGTCAAAGCGTTCTATATGGACCTCAAAAAACTCTTCAGAGAAGATCATACATTCTTCAATGTCATTGTCGGAGATTTTAACGCAAAAATTGGACCTAGAAGAACGTCTGAAGAACGTCACAAAGGGGCCTACGGACTAGAATGGAATGAACAGGGTGAGAGGCTATCTGAGTTTATCATGACGACCCAAACCATCCATGGTAACTCGAAATTCCAAAAGCCTCTTTCTCAGCGACGGACGTGGGAGTCTCCCAATGGAGAGCACCATAACGAAATAGATCACATCATAGTAAATCGAAGGTTTTGCCTGACCGACGTCGCTGTTGTTCCTAAGTTCTACACGGGATCAGGCCATCGCCTCCTTCGCGCAACTTTCCGATTTTCGAGGAGAGGAGAGAAAGCCGCTAAATTCAAACAACGAAGTCCCAGAACTACCATAAACTGGGATGTATTCAAATCATTAGTCGGCTCTTGGGAAGATACCGTTGTCGACAACATCGACAAAGAATACGATCGACTCGTTGAATATCTTCACGTTAGCGCTATAAAAACCGAGAGTCCTAAGGTCACGAAGAGACGCTTGTCTCTGCAGACACTCGAGCTGATACGTCAACGTGGAATCGCACGAGCTGCAGGCAATCGAAACTTTACGTCCGAACTTGCGAAACGCTGCAGAGAAGCGATAAAAGAAGACCTCAAAGAGAGAAGAGCAGCAGTTATGGCAGAAGCTGCAGAAGCTGGGAAGAGCATTCGCAAAGCCCAGCGAGGCTTCGCCAACTATAAGATCAAGATGATTGCACTCCGATACCGTGACGGGACACTTACAGCTCCGAGAAGGGCTATGGAGAAAATCATCCACCAATACTACTCGGATCTCTTCGCTAGCCATGTCCTCTTACCGTCATATAAATTGAAAGAGGACGAATATGTCGTCCCACCGGTCCTCCCTTCCGAAATTCGACATGCTATATCGTCGGTGAAGAACCCAACAAAACCTGGTCCAGACAGGATTAGACCAGTAACACCTGAAGAATCTGCCGCCAGTTCTCATCAACACCTGAGCTCGGTGCTTCACTCGCTACCTGTCAGAATGCAAGGTTCCTATTCAATGGAAAACCAGCAAGACCGTATTGTTGTTCAAAAAGGGAGACCTTCACGACATAGGCAATTATCGCCCAATCTGCTTGTTGTCCGTTGTCTATAAACTCTTTACTCGAGTCATCCTAAACAGGATTGACAGAACACTGGACGAAGGACAGCCATGCGAACAAGCAGGGTTTCGAAAAGGGTTTAGCACCATGGACCACATTCACACGTTTACAAGACTCACTGAAGTTTCACGATAGTACAAGCAACCACTCTGTCTCACTTTCGTCGATTTGAAAAAAGCCTTTGATTCAGTGGAAACAGAAGCGGTTATAGAGGCGATGGATAACCAGAGCGTCCCTACTCGGTACATAATGATCCTTCGTGAGCTATAAAGATTTCGCGACCAAAATATCTCCATTCTACAACAATATCACCATTGACGTAAGAAGAGGGGTTCGACAAGGCGATACAATTTCGCCAAAACTATTCACTACCACCCTACAAAACGTCATGCGAAACATTAGAATGGGACGAAATGGGAGTGAAAATTGACGGTCGACAATTAAACCATCTTCGCTTTGCTGACGATATCGTTCTCTTAACACCAAACATCAGCCAAGCGGAACGAATGTTGACCGATTTCGATAACGCCTGTGGAAAGATTGGTCTTCAACTAATCTAACGAAAACAATGTTCATGAGGAACGGATGGGTTTCTAATGCCCCATTCACGCTCAACGGAACGACAATTTCCGAATGCTCCAGTTACATCTATCTAGGTCGTGAAATCAACATGATGAACGACCTAGCCCAGAGTTGAGCAGGAGGAAACGAGCGGCTTGGGGAACGTTTAAGAGCATCGAAGATGTAGTGAAGAGGACAAAGAACACATCCGGACTTGTTTGTAAAGCTTCTCAAGTGTTGTTGCTTTGTCCGGGTGTTTCACCGTTAGTTTCGGACACACTCTACAAAGTTATCCCTAAATGGCCGCCTGTGGACACACGTACTAGGCAGCAGAAACGTGGTCGCTAGCGGATTAAGGACAGGGATGAAACGCATCCCTTTCGAAAATGGTCGTAGGCTACGGAGTCGCTCAACGATCGAAACAATTAGAAGACTGATTGGACAGGCGGTATGCCGTAATCAAGGAGCCCGTTTCTATTCTGAACCTAGACTCGTGCAGTCATAAGTAATACGCACATTAAAGAGGTGGGAGCCGGATCACGACTCGGTGAATACCACCTGGACCGAGCTGCGTGGTTGGTCGACAAGAATCGAAATCTGGCCAAAAGCATCGCAACACTTGCCTCCCTTCTTTTCGTCTGTCTACTGTCCCCTCCCATTTTCTCACGGGCTTCCTTGAGATTTCACCGCTCGCTCGCGTTATCATTAACATTCCGAGTGCTTTTGTTCTCTGTCGCCTATCAGTACTGCCCTTCCATCTTTCCGGCCTCATTTTCCCCTTTACCCCTATCCGCTTCAGTTCGTTTGATGTTTGCTATTTTCACCTTTCTTTAG